CGACCCCCTTTTGTAATCCGAAGACGACATTAGTCTACAGGTATCCCAGGTTTGATCATAGCAGAGATGGCAGTAGTATGCGAATCGTAGGAATAATAGTAGCAGTTGTTGTAGTTGTACTTGTAGCTGTAGTAGTAACCAAACTGGTAGCAATAGTAGTACTAATAGTAATAGTCCCTACATTGTTCAACAAGGCGAGTCTCATGCCATACTAATATTTCATGCCATTCACAGCCCGTCCTGAGAAGACTTCCAGTGCAGCTGGGACGCACATTGTGAGATGCAACGGGTTGAATGTCTCAAGAGGCATCCGCCAGAAAATTCCCGGAGAAGCTAAAACCTTGTTGTGCTCATCTGGAAATTTGTTAAAAGGACCCCATGATACCTTTGTATTACCCACATACCGTTGCGTCCGCAAGGGGTATCACTTTGTGAGAAACCCCACATTGCGTTCCAGGTGAAATTCATGATGGAGCAGTATGATGTGGATGGCGATGGGTGCAACTGGCAGTTGTTGCCGTGGCCTCCTAAACCCATCTCAGAGCGCACATACAGACTTTACTAGCATGCTGAAGGGGTACCACTTATCGTGCATGTCTGCGTGCATCAATCTCAATCCAGGAAGAATGGTGAAGACATTGTGGTTGGCAGTTAAGTCTCCAACAAATTCAAGATCCTTAGCACAAGCGTCCCACCTTATCCTGTTGACATGAACATTTCTGATTGATACTTCTCCAACTTCTCTCTGCCCAATGAATACTTGCCGCCTGCGCTCTTGCCACTGCGACTACTTTCACGATTCTACTTGTTGCTGTACCAACTGTTACTATCAGGATTCAGAAAAAGTCGTAAACCCTAAACATGAACACAAGCTCGGAGACACAATTAGGAAAGACATGCCAAAGCTTGGTTGGATCCAGCACGTCCTCGAGCACAAAACGCTACACGCTACCAGGCTCCTAAACCCTGAACCCTGAACCCTACTCCCTAAACCCTGAACCCTAATCCCTAAACCCTAACCCCTAAACCCCAAACCCTAATCCCTAAACCCTAATCCCTAAACCCTACACCCTCAACCCTTTAGGGTTTACGGCGTCATCTTTCAGATGCCAGGACGCTGGGCATCCTTGAATTCTGTGAGATGCTTTGCCCTCACGGATTCCGAGCCCATGACAAGGTCCTTGAAGCCAAGCATAGGTTGTTGTAGGGTTTAGGAGGTTTAGGAGTTTAGGGTTTAGGGTTTAGGGTTTAGTGGTTCAGTGGTTTAGGAGTTTAGGGTTTTAGGGTTTTAAGGTTTTAAGGTTTAGGGTTTAGGGATCAAAAGAGCCCAATGTGGGGAATACAGGGTTTAGGCGTTAGGGATCCAAATAGCCCAATGTAGGTAATGTTTGAAGACTTTTGTGCCAGATGCAAATATTTTTTGCATACTTGGATCCCGGAGTAAGGGTCCACGTTTTGTTGCGGCTATGCGCACGTCAGCAAATTGGCATGTCTTCTTGGCTTGTCAACGCGAAAAGGGTTCACGTTTAGGGCTTAGGTTTTTGCAGAGTTTAGGCTTCAGGTGTCAGGGTGTGGGGGCTTGGTTTCACAAAGCCCTCGCCCCGAGAGTCCAGGTTATGGCTTCAGGTTCAAAACCCTTATAACCTAAACCCTAAACTCTAAACCTTTGTTTTCGGGGTGTTGGGTGTTGGCCGATTCAGGCGCCAGATCTTAATCAGATCACACCCTAAACTTCAAACCCCAAGCGACAATATTGGGTACCTGGAGCACTACATCTGAGTGGCAGGCCTTTTGAATTTTGAGTTGCGGTAGACTTCACACCGCCCCTAGGCGCCAAAATAGCCCAGTGTAGGTAATGTTTGTACATTTTGGGGCCCAAAGTAGGCATTGTTTCTTGACTGGGAGCCCCAGAAGGGTTTAGGGTATCCATTTTGGGCGGCTTGGTGCTTAATTTCAGGCTCCATCAGCTATGTAGAGCAGGCCTTGCCCGCAGGACCCCGATGGCCATGAAGCAAGCCTCACGTGAGCTTACTGGTTCTCAGTAGGGAACAAGGGAATATGATCCTTATATACCCCCCATATAACATATTCCCTTGTTTCCTACCAAGAACCAGTACGTTAGGCTTGCAATCCAAATCTATGACCACGTCCTACTTTGGACGCTAAAGTCTATAGACACTACCTACTCTTGGATGCCTGGAAACAAGTCATCTACCATATGCGCCATACACACGGCCTTTCGTTCGAGGGACTAGGCAACTATGCGCCACTAAACCACGGCTGCGATGAAGTGCGGCCTTTGACATGGGTATCCGGGTAGTCTATTGCATAGTCAGGCACTCGAAAAACTCTAGTTCTCCACATATCATCCAATGGAATTCATATGGTAGTTTCCCAAAATTAGGGTACCCCAATAGTGACCCCAATATACTATAGTCCTTATTACAGGGATCCCCCAAAAGGTACCCATAATGTTGGGCAACCCCCCATATCTTCCAGGCGTTGAACCTAAATCCCCAGCTACCCGTAGCCCTCTGTCACGAGGCCACGCGAGCGCATCTTCAGGCAGGCTTCTGCACCACCACGTAGTTTAGGGTTGAGCCAAAGTCAGCTATAGTACAAGCCATGGGTTTAGGGCTTAGGGTTTAGGGTTTAGGGTCAGGGAGCCAGCTTCGCAAAAATTGAAGGGGGCACTAGACCAATATGTTGTTTTTTTTACTCGGGCTAAGGGGTTGCACGCATGCATGAGGATTCGCGTGGGGACTCCAGCTTCACTCAAAGAGCCGGGGGTGTTATTCGGAGGTAACTTAGCTCCACAGCCTTAAGCCTCTTAAGCTCCGAGCGGCATGCGCTGTAATGTGTATCTGTGTTGACGCAAAGCCATAGTTTGCTCGAAGCTAGACCAAACGTCCAAGCTAGATGCAGCGCGATCGACATGAGCAAACAGAGCCATCAGTAGGGTCCATCCATGACAAGCACCATGCGATGCATCATTTAACCGCGTGATGAGCATGACACTGCTTCACAACGAGGGAAAAATACGTACATTACAGCCTGGAGGGGCATCAACTTGAGCTGCCGTTGGTCGGAACCTTACAGACCCTGCTGTACATCCTCAGCTAGCGTGCAAACATGTATTCTGATCAGGGTAAGTTCTTCAAGGACTCCAAAAGTGGGCTGAGAAGGACACCCGTTCCCTTGCTTGCACGAGCGAAGATCCCAATCCATTTCGTGAGGATCCCCATCATCATAGAGGTCTACAATGTGGCGGGACGCCGGCAGACATGGGAGGTCAGCGCCCTAGAAAACCCGGGCCACGACCCGAATCTTTTGTTTGCCCGCAGGTCCGCCACAACGACTACATCGAAGACTACACCTGGGTCATGATGCTGGATGATGTCTCGCGCCGAGAGCGGTTGCAGTACTCCGCACACCTCGTGGACATGACCACGGGGAAAGAGGTCAGCCGCGAGCTTAGACGCAGTGAGCAACATGTGTAACTAATACAGTTTTTCATCGCTCCAGGCAACCGCTCGCGTGGGCGCCAGCTTCAACACCAGCAATACCAGCTGGTGGTTCGAAGACGGTCTGGCACTCAGTGGAAATCAGCTCGATCGCGTCGAGACAATTTCGACTGAGGCGAACATCGCGGTCACCATCAGCGAGACGGTGGCGCCCTCAGAAGGCGGAGCGTCAGGAGTCAGGAGTGATTTCCAAATCGTTTCGTCAGGTGAGGTCGCGCGCGTCTTCGACCACATGAGGGGTGGATCCGAGTCAGCACACGCGCCGGCGTGAGCAAAACAAGGCGAGCATGCAGGGTGATCGTCTTCCAGGGGTCCGTACGGTTTGAAGTAATTTACGAGCACTCAAGTAACACTCTTTGAAGTTCTAGCTCTTCCGGTTCAGAGTTCAATGACCTTCGTCAGGTGGGTAACAAATGTAAAGCCGTGACGAACGAAACTGCACGGCGCCGATACTCGGGGGTATCTGCGAATTTACGTCCAGGCCCCTTAAGCCCCGAGCGTCGACTCGCAAGGTCGCATCAAAGAAGGCTACCCGGATCGTGGAAGCGTCGAGTTTGAAAGCAACGAACGCGGCGTAAGGAGCGCACAAGAATGCCTGACGCAACCAATCAGAGGTCCAAGTGAGAGATGGGCTGAACACGAGCGCGCAGCGAGGGACTGCAAAACATTGCACGCACTCATGAAGATTCGCGTGGGGACTCCAGCTTCACTCAAAGAGCCGGGGGTGTTATTCGGAGGTAACTTAGCTCCACAGCCTTAAGCCTCTTAAGCTCCGAGCGGCATGCGCTGTAATGTGTATCTGTGTTGACGCAAAGCCATAGTTTGCTCGAAGCTAGACCAAACGTCCAAGCTAGATGCAGCGCGATCGACATGAGCAAACAGAGCCATCAGTAGGGTCCATCCATGACAAGCATCATGCGATGCATCATTTAACCGCGTGATGAGCATGACACTGCTAGGAGGGGAAAATACTTACATTACAGCCTGGGGGGCGTCAACTTGAGATGCCGTTGGTCGGAACCTTACAGACCCTGCTGTACATCCTCAGCTAGCGTGCAAACATGTATTCTGATCAAGCCACTAGATACAAGAAAGAGATGCAACTCGAGTTCATCCGGCCAGATGACATGAACCCTGGGACTTCTACCGCATATCACGTCATGCATGTTGCGGATCAAGAACTGAGGCCTTCGTCCACTGCAAGCCAGGACAGAATTCGAAGAAAGTTCTGTTCAAAAAACAGATGCAGTTCGAAGCTCAGATCTGAAAGCTCCGCAAGCACGAATGCTTGGTGCTGGCATCCTTCGAGGCGGTACGAAAGGATCGCCCAGAAGCTGCGCATCCAGCCGTCCGGACCTTAATTTCTAGCTAAATCAACTCGACTGCATAAGCATGCCAGGTCCGAGGTCACGGACGATGCCGCGGGTGAGGTAGAAGCGGAGGAAGAGGAAGCAGCCAGGGAGGCGGAGGAAGCAGCCAGGGAGGCGGAGGAAGCAGCTAGGGAGGCGGAGGAAGAAATAGAGGAGTCTCACCCGGATCTAGACCCTGATGAAGTTGTCGTTCTCGACTGAAAGAAAGCTAATGGTCGTCCAGGAGTCTGCAGGGCTTCAAGTAATTTACGAGCACTCAAGACAATTTATTGACTCAGGCTATTTCCCTGAACCCTAAACCTTAAACCGCGTGAGATTACTTGGGACTTGCTGCCTGTTTATAGGGGATGACTATACAAGAGGGCTCTTCAACTCGCGCGTATGCCTCTTGATCACTAGCGGACAGTAGGAGTTCGAGTTCCACCCTTGCAGACCCATACATAATCCGATTTTCCGTTTCATGTTCAACGATCCTTTCCAGCTGGTTCTCCGCTATTTGAGTAATATCCCCTGTAGGAGATTCTGAGCATCAGTTTTTTTTTTTTTTTCGGTCCCAGGGCCAAGGGCCAAGGATGAATCCTGCGTAGTTTAGGGGTCTGCATGGGGCGCTTCTTGGCGGGGGTAGGGCATTCGGAAGCAGGTTGCCGCACTTGCTTGGCGCGCTTGGGATATGAGGTTAATGAGGACACCATGACGTTTAAAGGTCCACATACCAAATAAGCAGCTACAAGGGACACTGGTACTAGGAATCGTAGTACAGGTTTGGAATAGTGCATGAGCGCTCAGTGCTTGGACCCTTGGGGAATAGTTCGTGCTGCAGACGCTGGAACCTACGGTCACTGATCCAGAGCGCGAAGGCAGAACAAAATCCGGCATGACCTCAGTTTAGGACTCAAGGTTAAGGTTTAGTATAATATCAAGCATTCCAAAGGCATGAGGTCCCTAAACCTTCAACCCTTAGAATCCACTGTAGGTCTGCTAAATAGTTGTAAGCCTCATGCGGTACTGGCCTAATGCTGCCGATGGCTAGCAACTGAAACCACCTTCCCCAAACATGTGCCCATGCCTAGACGTCCCAGATACCTATGCCCTCAACCCCCCCCCAAAATGGCGCGTTTTATAACTGTTTGAGAGGTCTAGATACACGATGCTTGCCTGCAGCATGTTGCAGCCCACCTGGGCCTACAAACAGGCGGTCAGCAGGAATCAACCTTACCACACACCGCCTCAGATGGCACCATCGCAGATTTGTTTAAGATTGTTTTTTCTTCCAATTGGGGTCCCTCCACGCGCCTCCTGAATGTTTGGATGAAGAAGCAGGTAAAGAGGACACAGCATTTCATCAGACACCTTTATAAACAAGGTTGATTCAAGGCTAACCCCGTCAGACGACGTCCATACACAAGGCCAACACAGAGTCCTAAAGTTTATAAGATCTTACATACATGGAGCCTTGGGCTAAAACCCAACAAAAGGACAACTCCTTGGCCCAACACCTGCCAGCAACCCCCTAAACCCTACACCGTAAACCCTAACCCTACAGGCTCAGGGGACTAAGTACGTACAGGGTTCAGAGATCAGGCTCTTCATTTAGAGGGTCAGGGTGAGGTTAGTAACCGGCGTACTTAATGGGTTTAGGGTTTAGTCCCATTTAACGCTGCTTGCTAAGTCCCCTGAGCCTCCAAGTGAGATCCCAGACAGCTTTGCTCCAGGATGGTACCCAGGTCGTGTACGACCCCACGATTCGTAGCTTGAGGCTCAGCAGCCATGTTAGATGCCAGGCATCCAAGAAGCCCAAATTAGGTGTTGTTGTTAGACTTCCGGGGCTAAAGTTGATCTAATTTATAGATTTTGAGCCCCAGGGGGAGGTGAGCGTTTAGAATCCAGACTCTATCAAACCTCAATTTGTAGGGTGGTTCAGGGTTTTGGGTGTGGCTTAATGTGCCTCAGAGTGGGGTTCCTGCCTTGTTGATGGAAGCCCAAAAAGCACGGCCCCAAATAGATTCCTGCTTGATGAAGAAAGGGCCTTGAGGTTTCCATGATAGTTTGGTGGAGTGTGCCCTACATGCTAAACCCTAAGCTTTTGTTCGCGCTATTTCCTTAAACCCCTCGATCCTGACCGCGAAAACCGCAGATCCTGACCGCGAAAACCGCAACCCCTGAAGCCTAACCCGTAAGCGCCTTAACCCCGAACCCTCTCAACCGAGGCTGGCAGATGCAGCCCAAGTGATGAGCACGTACTCAGCGTTTGCGACTTCGGGTTTATAGTCCCCCTTAAGTAGATAGAATATGGGGCATTTGGGGATCTTATCATAAATATATACCCGAAGCCATATTCTATCTACTTAAGGGGGACTATAGGGGCATTGCCCTGCAATAGCGGAGAATCAAAGGGAGAATGAACAAGAAACAGGAAAATGTAGGGATTGACAAGGTTTGAGGGTCTTTAGGGAGAAGCCTGAGTTGCAACAACCAGGGTAATTAGTATCTCATAGTCCTCGCAAGGTACTATTACAAATAACACTAGTGTTTCGTCATATATCTGCAAAGTGTTTAGTGGGTTCTGGGGTACTGTATAGGGACTACAAAGGCCTTTACATTGCTGAGGTTCGGGCGTAATAGTCGAAAATTAAATGGGCAGGAAATCCACTGGAAAATGCCCAACAAGGGGGGTATAGGACTAGGGCTAGGCAACGAAAGCTCAAAGTAAAAACCAGGCAATTAATTACCTGCAACGAAATGTAGAAGTTGCTGATCCTCAAGCTATTCAGGGATAGTCAACCACCTAGTTTCGCTAGTTTCGCAATGTAGCGTAGAACTTCTGTCTAAGCTGTGTCATGCCCCTCACTTCAACATGTCAATAACGTCGAGTATGTGCACCAGTCCACTTCTAGCGTATCGACCGTGGTGAGTCACTAAGAGTTTCCAACTTCTGTTGGTACCATAGACGCCTGAATTAAGATTCATTCTATGTTCCTGTATTCCTTAACCAGTTCAACTGTATCGTATCACGAAACCCATAACCTCATTCCAATTCTCCGCGCCCCTAAATTTAGTATGCCCCCACAAGACACCTACGCCTCCCAATGTACATCGTCAATGTCAACTGATAAAAAACTGCCCGATTGCTCACCTGGCCGCATCGCAAGATTTTGAGATTATGACAGATCATGGGGGGGTTCTTGGGAAAGACCCTTCAACTAAAGACCCTCAATCCAGCATGCTCATAAAGTGCCCATGAACCAGGAGCGGCCGAAATCCCTGCCTTAGCCCTGAAAACATGCACGTTGGATTCTTTCTCAAAATCAGAGGCCCCCTACATAGTACAGACCAACACAATCCTCCCCTTTTGAGCCCCTGGGCCCTAAACCCTCAAGCCTACACCCGCAACCCCCGTCCTTTTAACAAATCCAGCAAGGCAACACGGAGGGTCCATCCCAAAACCCCTGCCAGCCCTACTGGGTGGTCATAGCGTTCTTTTCCCTGCCTGTTTTGGGTGCTTCTCAAAATGAGATTTCCCCGTTGTCCACGAACAGCCCCTCAAAAAGTATCATGCTGGGATGATGAGCCCTGGTGTGATTACTGCCTGAGCCCAGCAAAGGACCAATATTCTTGAGGAGCTGTTCAGGCATTTAAATTAAGCTACTACTATAAAAAGCAAACCCGATCATTTATCATATACCCTTTTTATGGTCACGTCAACCCCAAACCCTAAATCCTATGGTAACTTACGTACTTTAAGTTCCTTAACAGCAGCCCAGTGATCTTGAGAAGCTCCCGTTTTAAGACGTTTG